TAAAACCTTGAAGCCACCAGTGCACATACACTGAGAATGGACTTTACAGTGAAGAAGAGACATCTTGTGTCCAGCAGGAAAACTTTAGGAAATTACCTAAATGTATTCATACATCCTGGAGTTTTTAAGAAATTTAATGTGGAAATAAAATAAATAAAAAAATATAAACACACTACTGTTCCAAGCAGACTATTTGTCTATGCCTTAATGCATGTCTGGAAGAGATCTTTAATAAGCTGAGTCCTCCATTCATATATGAAGTGTCTCTGCACCTACCTGGTTGTGAAGCGATGAGCATTACTGCGTTGGGACTGAGACGTGCCAAATTTGGAATAATTCCTCTGTACAAGTCCACGTTAGTCTGAACCACGCTTACATACGACTGCTCGCTGCTCCATGCATTCGCTGTCACCACCACAACCTTGGAGTCCGAAGACGCTGAAAAATCTAACAAAGGAGAGTCATCGGTAGTTAAATCCTGCAGCGAAGTAAAAGAAAAACAGCCACAGCTTAGAGCATTGTTTCTAACCACAAACACTGCGTTAGCTCTCAGGTAATCCCTGATGGATACACTACTTTTAGTTTCTGTGAAGTTCAGTCAGCTACAGAACAGCAGCTGGTTGGGATTCAGTGAATGCTGTCATAGAGGAGAGTCATCAAGGGTAGGCTCCCTACACACAATGCCAGTCAGCTACCTCTGAAACAATCTGACATCAGCAGTGACTCAGCTAAGAGGCACTTGTATATTACTGCATGACAGAGCAGAAAGCGACGTACCTCTGGACACCTCAACCTTGGGCAGATTGAAAATCTCTAGATCTGTGCTGCCGCCCTTGGTGGAACTCTCCGCGACGTCAATGAAAACCAGTTTATCCACTTTACACTTGGTGGAAAGAAAAAAGTAAATAAAATAAGCATTAGTACAGGAGAATTCAACATTATTATTCAAGCAGGTAAAATATATAATATGATATATAAACCTTTGATAAAATGCTCATCACTGATGCCATTCCTAAATCTCCTCCCCCGATAACAGACACTTTGTTGATTGGTTGATCATGATGTCTGATTCCACCTGAAACAGACGAGATGTGATTAGCTAAAAATAACACACAGCTATCTGAGTACTGATCAACAGCAATGCTGCATATCAAATGAAGCACCATCATTGATCTGGAGGTTAGAGACAAAAGCCAGAAGGTCATGGGGGTCCTTATTTTCTCCTGTGGTCTTTGAGGACAGTGGGGGCTCCTCCTCAAACTTGGCAATCATCTCAGCCAGAAGACCCACCACAGAAGACTTGGGCTGTGACAGAGCAACAAAAAGAATAAATAAAATGAAAACACAGCAGCATGACTGATGAAAACACCTCCGAACCTCTTCTACACCTTTTTAAGCTTCACCCAGAAAGCATAAAACCTTACATAATCCCAGTTGTGCAGCCCCGGCAGGTAGAGCCTTCCTCGAGCGTCAACATGCTTGCCCTCCCTGATGACCATGTTAGCGGTTGGTCTCAGGAGACATATGGGAGGAGTGAAGGGGAATGAGTCCATCAGCCACAGCTGAATGGGGAAGTTGTATGTGTGGCCTTAGAAAAAGAAATGCTGTCATCAGTGCACGGTATCGGCCTAACACATGACAGGATAATTCCCCTTCTCCCAGGCTGAGTCTTTGGGCAGTCTCTAGTGTCAGAGGTCAGTCTTACCTTCATACTGGACTGGGAGGTTACCAATCAATTTCAGGAGATCTTTTTGGGTGCTGTCAGTAAATGCTGAAATTGACAACAGGAGCAGTCAGCCAGAAACACATGTGATGATTGTAGAGGGCTACAAAAGATGAAGAAAAGAAGAAAAAAAACCTACTGTATGTGCCTGTGGATGGTACCATCCCAGGGTAGATGCGATGGATTTTCTGCAGCTCCTCAACAGCGACATCGTGGAATTTATACTAACATCAGGGGTAAAGAGAGACTCATCTGTGGTTGCTGAGACCGTGTGTGTATATACAGTATATAAATGTCTGTATTTGTGTGTATATGCATAACTTAAACATGACCAACATCAGGACATTAAAGCTTACAATTTTGCTATTGTGGTAAAAAATCTACACTTTGAGCCCAGTGCCCACCCACTTTATCATTATAATCTCTTTTTTAATGTTGATTCATTCTTTCTGTATCATCAACCAATCAATCAAGGTATAATGAGATTACACTGCCACATTCTTGACGGGTTGAGTAAATCACTCAAGATTTAATTGTGTTATCATGCTGCTTCCCACCACACAATCATAGAAGCTTCCCTACAGCTTCACCAGCAACACTGGAGCTAAATGGGCTTGCTGTTTTTAAACTCATTGGACCTTTAACAGGAGTTACTGAAAGATAGGATAATGGGAGGGGACTTATCCTTCAACTGTATCCTTCAGACAATTTTATAATTAGACAGAAACTTTATGAAGCACTTAGGTAGGCAGTGATTTTATGAGAGGCTTCCCATCATTTGTTAGGAATAATAATGCGAGTTTCCCCAGGATATGCAGAGTAACAGAGCTGGTTCAACCAGTTGCTGAACACTGACAGCAGCATTATGAACGAGCCTGGTACGCTATCCGGCACCGATACCACAAAGGGATTCATTTTAAAGTTACCAAAGCTCGTTCATCTTGTGAATAACTAACCTTGGAGAGAATCCGCTGTATTTTCTCTGAACGGAGGTCCATCTATTGAGTCACACAATCCAAAATAACGCCTCGTACTGTTTTAACCCTCTTGGTGGTTTACTTCAGCTGTGTATTAAAAAAATAAATAAACTTCCGCAAACTTTGAGAAGTAGCTAAGAGAAAAAGACAGGCCCCTCCCACTTGGGGCTTTATGTACGGCAAGCGAAGAGGGAAGAAAAGGCACGAAAAAAGTACGCCGTGATAACGTTAACGCTGATTTTAGGCCCTCTTGCACTCAATCTATGCTTAACAAAAAAAACAATCATTCAATCAAGTTTCTTTCAACAAAACTAATATTTAAAAAAAAACAAATGTAACAATAATAACGCAATATAAAGTAAGAATGACCTCATTGCTTTCACTGGCAAACAAAAATCTTCTATAAGTGACATTAGTGGTAGAACCTAAACTCTGGATATGTATATATGTGTGTGTGTATATTATATATATATATATATATATATATATAGTGTCATACTCTAAGAAAACATTGACAAAACTAGACATTTAAATAAAACCCTTTATGGAATCATTTCTCTTTTTTTTTTAAAGACAAACACGTCATGTTTTCTGCATAATCAATTGACTTTACAATCAAAGTTTTGTTTGGAAAAATATGCAACTTCTCCTCAAAAATAGCATGTTATCAACACTTGAGACTGGATGTCATTGTTAGTCTAAAAAAAAAAAAAAAGAAAATAAAATGCTTATACAGTAGCTCTCTTTGCAACTCAGTTCCTTTGAGAAATTGAGACTGTTGACAGTGTAAACCCTGCACTCAATGGGGGGAAATAAATAATACAACAGGGACTTTTCGTCACATCCTAAGGGCCTAATGCCTGAATGATTTGTGCATATTTTGTCTTGGACTAAAATTCTTCTCTTTTCCTCCTGATCCGATGTCATGTGTCACTGCGTGTGTTGGCAGATCCACTGTCCTGTACTTCAGGAGACAATGTTTTTTTTTAATAATTATTAATCTCATCAGCAAAGGGATTTCAGTTCTTTTTTTTCCTCTTGGCCTTCATTTTCCACTCCTCTTCCTCTCTTTTCTCCTCCTCCAGATCTTCCTGCACTGCCAGTTTCAGGCTAGCAAAGAACAAGGATAGAGAAAAAAGAATATTATGTGAACAAAGTACTACAGCTCTTGGGACAAACAGTACATAATGTAGAGGTAGGGACTATGAGGTTTATTTTAATCTTACCTTCTGGCCTCCTCTTTCTGCAGATCTCTCCAGCTGCTCTCCATGAATTTCAGTGCATAGTCACTCTCGTCCTTGTATCTGAGGAGGTTGAAAGCACATGTTTCATATAGAATTTGGTTTACAATACAATGAGGTGAGTTTTTAAAACAAACTATATGGGGACAACACTTACTTGGTTCGATCGTAGCCAAAGATTTCCTTAATGTGCCTGGAAATCTTGTCCTGATCCTCCCCTCCATCGTCAATAAAATCGTCCATTTCTGAGTCGTAGTCATCTTCTTCATCCTCGTATTTTCTCTTGTATGCAGAGGTGATGGGTGGTAACATTGTACCTGGATAATAAATACAGAAATTAATCACAGGGTATTGGCTTTTTCCCCTTCTGCACACTGCATGAAGAGGACATTTGGTCTTTCATGGAGCAAGCTAGTCATTCCAGAAGTATTAAGTTTATGTTTCATGGTAAAATGGTTGACATTTAAATTATGTTTTTGTTTATCTGTGTGAGAAAGATCACCGCTCTCTGACCCAGGAATAATGACAAAGGCTGCTGAGTGTTGCTGACACTTCATTCGGTTTGGCCAACAAACCCTTTGCCCTGTAGTACTGACACTGTTGTTTCAGTCTGTTAGCAAAACATCAGCAGCTGTTTATTATATCACTTTATATCAAAACATGTATCGCATGCATTGTTTTACACTGTTCATTGCAATGTGTTGCTAAAGGTGTGTGTGTGTGTGTGTGTGTGTGTGTGTTCTGAGCTGAAATGAAGTACTTAATGTCTTCTTTGGTGTGTATATAATACAATTATCTGTACGTAGTTTGTAACTTTGTAAATTCTGTACTGAACTGTGAACTGAAGGTCTACAGTACCATTAGAATCTCTGTGGTTCTTACCTGGAGGTCTGTTCATCATAGGCCTGGGAGGCATTCCTGGTCTAGGAGGCATTCCTGGTCTGGCAGGCATTCCCGGCCTAGGAGGCATTCCCGGCCTAGGAGGCATTCCCGGTCTGGGAGGCATACCCGGTCTTGGTGCCATCCCAGGTCTCTGTGGCATGCCTGGCCGAGGAGGGGCTCCTGGTCTGGAGCCACCAACATTCTTGGATGAGATGGTCTCTGAGACCACAGTGCACTTGGGTCTTCCAGGTCCTGATCCAAAGCTGCCAGCCGATGGTCCGGGTACCGGTCCGCCACTACCAGGCCGACTGGGTCCAATCCCCGGAGGTCGAGTTCCACTACCTCCAGGTTGACCCTGCATGCCCCTCCCACCAGGCCTGGCCTGTGGGACACCACCAGCTTTCGCCTGGAGTGTGCCTCCAGGTCTGGCCTGAGGTTGGCTCCCTGCCCTAGGTGGGCCACCTGATGAAGGTCTCATCGCTGAATTACCACTTGATTTTACTGCAGGATTAATTCCAGGCCTGAGTGGTTCTCCCTTTCCAGACTTGTGGCCCCCGACTGTAGGTCCCTGCTTCACTGAACTACCCTGACTGGGCCTGGTCTGTTGGGAGCTCCCATGTGGAGATTTTTGGCTAGTTACAGACGTACCAGGAGGCCTGGTCCCAGGAATACCTGAAGTTCTTCCATGAAGTAATGATGAGCTTTCCTTTTTGAAGCTAAGGTCACTTGAGGTGCTGGATTTGTGGCTAGATGAGGGCCTGGGTCCCCCCTGTTTGGCTGAAACCTGAGAAGATGTGGCTTTTGAAGGTACTTTACTGTTTATGGCACTAGATGAACTAGAAACGCTCATCTTGGATCTGTCTCTATCACTGTGAGACATCTTGGGTCTCTCTCTTTCTCTGTCACCCACAGTGGGCTTGGAAGAAGAGTGGCCTTTATCACTAATCGGTATTTGGTGGGACTTCTTCCCTGACCCACTGGGCAGACTTGGCTTTTCTACCGAGTTCTTTTGCGGTTTACAGTTCTTCTGCTCCCTCTCTGTGCCTTTTCTACTAGAGCTGGACTGGGACTTGCTGTCTCTGTCCCTCTCTGCCTTTGAGTCTCTGTCCTTGTCCGGTCTCTTAGCCTTGCGCTCCAACTCCAGTTCCTTTATCTCGTCAGCTGTGCGGAGCCTTTCATCCTTTTTCACTGCCTTGGATTTTAGCTCAACTGGCTCAAACTGCTTCTTCTCCGCCAATTTGAGTAACTCTGCAAAGTTCATGGGAGGTGGAGCGGGCTTAGGCGGCCCACTGGGTTTTTTAGAGGGGTGCTTGCTACTGCTACTGCTACTATTACTGCCTGTGGGTTTCCCTGGTCTCACCTGCTCCGGCTCCTGATCTGGTTCCGAATCCGTCATATCATAGTCATAATTATCCTCATCGTCCTCAGGGTCAATTGAGTTATTCCTAAATCTCTCCCCATCCGTTGATCTTTCTTCCTGCATTTCGTGTTTTGATCTCCTCTTCTTGGGAAGCTCTACCACCGGGACGCCGTTGTAGCCTCTGAAATTGTCCTTAGTCCTGGAAGCCATGGCTCGTGCTTTACGGTCCGACTTCAACTCAACCCTCTTGGCTAGCAGTTCCTCCTTCTGTTTCTTACTTTGAATTTCTGAAGGGAGAGAAAAAAAAAAAAGACAAATGTTCATTTAAATCGATTAAGAGTGATTTACGTATAGCATGTTTATGACTAGATATCTACGTTAACTCAGTGTAGTTACCTTTCTTTTTGGTCTCGGTGTGTTGCTTCTTCAGAAGCGCCTTCACAGCAGCCGGATTTACACCTTTCGACTTTGGGTCCTTTTTGGGTGGTCCAGTTTGTAAACTGTACCTCTTTTGCTGCTGTGGTTGGGGATAAAAAAAAAAAAAATGTATGTTATAATTCACAGCTTAGTGAATGTGAGCAGCCACATAGCTCTCTTTGACCTTTTACAGTTATCAGAGGTCTTAGTTACAGGGAATATTATTGATCAGGGACTGGTTGGGAACACTGATGGGTTGTTTAAATGTGTTTATAGCCTCGCATACAGGGACACGAGGGTGGGAAGTTAGCAGCTAGCTCCATTATCAGATCTTCTGACAGATGAGCTGGCATTTGTGTGCTCCCAATGTTTCACTGTTTGGACTGAGTAAACACAGTGCAAGTGACAGTCTTTGACTTACCTGCACAGTGCTCAGGCCCTGGTTTTGCGAGGCTAGGTCCAATATATTGTCAAAGTCCATCATTTTGGCAGCAGGTTGATACGAGCTGGCTGAAGCAAAGAGTGCTACTGTTAGCGTGTAGCTTACAAACCAGCTGGCTCAGGGTTTAGCGTTAGCAAACGGCACTTTGATAGTTACGAGGAGAACACTTGCTCACGGGAGGCAAACAAAAAAAAAAAAAAGTATATTAAAACATTTAACGGTACTTTACTTCAGCAGCTTACGGGGGGGGACGTTAGCACACGCTATCGAAGTTGGCTAACCTAATGTTAACTAACGATGGCCAACCAAGAAGCCTCCAGGCAGGCGGAATATCTGGCTGACAGACGGAGTTGCCCTTTTGTACTGATGTAACACACCAAACTGAGGCCAAATCCATCAAAATATTGGTATGATTAAAGCCTACTGAAAGAAAAACACTACAAACTCAGGCATTACAAACGCCGGGTGTTTGTTAAGACTGACGACGAGAACGACCGACAAATTAAAGGGTCCAAAGAGTACGCTAAGGAAGCAAGATGACTCACTGGTGCGTACTTCCGTTTTTGTGAGATTACGCCGGTTTTGGTCGTGGGTGGGTTGCTAGTGTGTTGCTAAGTGGACCCAAAAACAGTAGCTGGTCACAGTGGAGTTTTAACATTTACATATTTGTAGCGTGAGATGAGTGATTGTTTTATAAAACTTTACTAACCTAACCTTGTACTACGATGGCGACCTCATAAATGCAAGGCTAGAGAAGAGGACGGTTGG